TTTAAGTTTGGTAAAATACATAATAAGACATTAATTAATTGATGTTATTTAATTTACATTAATTAAACTAAAATTTATTAAGTAGTTAATTAATATCAAGGATTTATTAAGTAGTTAATTAATATAAAGAAAGTATGCAAATAAATATTAGCAACAAGACATACGTTGTTGAAAACTAGGGAATGTACTATTCCTGAACTTTCAGCAACGTAACTCTTGTTGCTGAAAATAAAAAAGAAATCCACCTTCTGAAAACCACCATTTCTTTTAAACTTTCAGCAACATGATCCACGTTGCTAAAAATATAGTTTCAGCAACGTGGCTTTTGTTGCTGAAAATGGTTGAATAATCTCCACCTCCGGTCACCGGAATCTGGCAAAAATATTACCAACATAAATCACGTTGGTAAAAGTGTTCTTTTAGCAACAAAGGGTATGTTGCTGATACATCAGCAACATACCCTTTGTTGCTAATGTATTAGCCAGCAAGCTTTTTCCAACAAAGCTTTCAGCAACGAAAGCCATGTTGCTAAAAGGCTTTTACCTACATTGCAAGCATTTTCAGTAACAATGCAAGCACTTTCAGCAACATGGGAGCATGTTGCTGAAAGTTGGAATTTTAGTAGTGATTTTATACTAATTGTCAACTCTGTTAGTTGAAAATATATTTTTGTCAAATAACAGTTAACTAATAATGAATTAACAAAATTAACGAAATATTATAAAATTAATTCTGTTAACTCTATTAGTTGAAAAAAAGTTGTTGTCAGTTAATAGTCAAGTAATATAGTTAATAGTCAACTAATAGAACTAATAAAATATTACAAAGTAAAGATTATTTTCTTTAATTTTAATAGGTGAGGGGCTAAAAGTATCATAATATAAGATAAGATGTTAAAATCTATAAATTTAGTAAAGTAAGAGGTTAAAAATATCTGATATAAAATGAGGGGTTAAAACTTTCAAATTTGATCAGGTGGGCTAAAAGCAGACTCTTGCACTTATCCTGTTGGGGGATATTCCACAGCGTTTCTCACCACCCTATACTAGTGTTTAGTAAAACACTTCCTTTTCATATGCTATTCTAGCATTTCCAAAAATGCTGATGAGGACAAACGACGACGCCTACTTAGACGGCGTCTTGTTGGCGTTTTTGGGAACGCTGGAACAATTTTTAACAGCATTAAAAATGCTGCATTTTAGTTGAAAAAACGCCGCCTTTTTCAAGTTTTCCTGTAGTGTGTAGGGATCTCAAAAGCATCAATTGTGTTATTGTTAGGGTAGAAGAAGAAATTCTGTCGCCAAAAACCTGAACACTCATCTCTTCATACTGTGTTAAGATTCCCTAAGCTCATCTTAGATCAAAAACCAAACTGCAATGCAATTACAACATTTGTTGTGTAGAGTGTAGACCTATGTTTGAAAAACCCTTAAAAATTTAAATTA